TAATGCTTCATTTTCAGAAATTCATGCGACAATATTGGCTAAGGGGAGTATATGGTAGTTGTTGGTCTCCATGTAAGAGTCGATATATAAATTGTAACGGAGATAAAAATGAGAAATGAATTAAGGCATGTGTCTTCAAAATGAATTGGGTCTCCAATCTTCACATTGAGAAATGAAAAACCGAAGATACATGACCTTTTGGTCCTAATTTTCAATTGAGTTTTGAATTTTTTTTATGAATTGTGATTCACTAATTTGTGTGTGTGTGTGTGTATTAAAATAAAAATGTAAGATATTGAGTTTGGTTCTTAATGTTAGAACTAACTAAATCAAAATCAAAATCAAATGGTTCTTAATTCTAAGAATCAGAACAATTAATTTTTTATAGAACCGAACCGCTCGATTTGATTTGATTTGGTTTGGTTTAGTCATTTTGTCCACCTATAACATTAACCTTAAATAAAATTTTAATTTAGATAGAATTCTTGGTTCATACAAAATCCTCAACCAAGGGGTTGTTTGAGTTCCATTATTTTTAAAATTCATTTTTTGAAAATTTACTTTCAACCCCGCATTGTTCAATAAAATAATATTACACGTAAATCGAAAACTTTTCTTAATTTTTAATCACACGTTCTTAAAAAATCACTATTTAAAAATACATTTTTCTCTCATAATGGGGCTCAAACAAGTGCCAAGACTATGATTTAGGAATATCAACCAAGCAAGACAATTGAAAATTGAAAATTGATTAAACAAACAAAATCCGAAGACCTAGAATTTTTAAATTATATCGATTGGATGCCCACTAAAGCAAAGAGTGTTGAGTGATGGAATCCCACAAAAAAGTTGGAAAGCGGGATTTAAAGAGGAAATTTTTTTCTTAATGTCCTAATTCTTTGTAGATTCTTATCCAAGATTTGAATTAATTGATGACGTCACGTGAATCGTTAGAAACATATGAAGTGTACGGTTAACCCAATAATGAAATTTTCGTAAGACAATTGAAGCGGGCTACCATAAGACAAAAGATCAAGAGATTGCCTTTTAAACTTCATGAATGGATAGCATTAATGTTACAATAAATAAGATTATATTCTTTTTTTTTTTTTAATACCCAAGTATCCCAACTTACACCAGACTATGTCATTGACCACCCATCCTCGGCCCCTCAGCGATGGGTGGAATCGCGGTATATGCTCAAGTTGACCAGGGTTCGTACACCCTTTATATTCTTGACCCCAAGGAGGCCTTCCTCCATGGATATTACATCACCAAGTTGTTCCACCCACAATTGAGTATTACATCCTATAAAATTACATTTATTGAAGAAACACACTATTCGAAATAGATCCTTAGTTGAACCTGAGGATATAAGGATGAACCGTGTCGCACATACCCCTAGTGGTATGATCCTTGCTTGGGCCTCTATCATGGTAGGTCAACCCGTCTCGTTCCGTCTTACACTTCTAGTTATACTCAAAAGCTTTGATGCAGGAACTTTATTTATAATCAATTTATTCATTAAACCAAGATTAAAGTCCCCAATATGATGTTGATATTGCCTTTCCTTTGGTTAGATGACTTAATTGTAACTTGAACCCTACTTTGTGGTCCTTCTACTTGATAAGAGCAAAAGCAGAATTAATTTGTTTACTGGTTTTGGACCACCACCACCCACCATATATGTTCCTTTTCACAGTGATTTCAATACAGCGAAACTAAGATTATTGGTGAAATTATAATAGAGTTGGAATATTTAATTGAAAGCAAAAAAGGATATATTCTTAAGAAATATGATCAAGAAATGGATCTAGATTACTTTACCTCTAAATTTACTTTTGCACTGGTTATTCTTGTATGGTGGAGACCTTTGACAAACCTTTTACCTTTTGTTTTTTTTTTTTTTTTTCGCCCAGTAGCCGATGATTTGTATGTGGGTTCAGATCGTGCAAATCTGTATAGTTCGTCTTTAAGAAGTCTTCGAGTCTACCTTAAGTATGTTTTTATGAAGTTATGGCTGAAACTTATTTGTTTGATATCATTTCTAAATAGTCCTTTCGACAAAGCTCTGATACCACTTTATTGGAAATGAAAGAGGACTCATGATAAACCGAACACTCTTACCCAAACTCACGAGAACATTCCACGAGAAAAATGTTATTCTTAAACGATGTGCATTTCTCACTTAGAATTTTTTTCTCTACACAATTGTATTGCAAAATTCGCTTCAGATCTTTCCTCATACTTTCGAATACAAACCTCAGACTCCCATTTATACTTAGTAGGAGGATTTTATTTGACGTGCATAAGAATCTTACATATTCATGTATGCTTGAAAACATACATTCTTGCTCTAATACAATTGTCACGTATCCATGTAACATGCTAATAGAATAAATTCACATTTCTTCCTTCAAGACTCAATCTAGTCAATTATTGAAGATTTTCAATATCATGAATTTTATTTAAGATTCATTCACAAACTTAGATCGACTTCCAACACCATCAAGCTCAATTACCTACGTTTGACCGTCATTTCCTATTCCTAGTCTGTTAAATGATATATATTTGGCATCCTCTCTATCAACCGCTTATGTTTTAGATCAAGTCGTTCAACACCAACTTGAAGATGCACGTCTTGATTAACCATGGGAAGTTGTTGCCAAACTAGCTCTAGGACGTGGCGCGATCTCCTCTCGACTGAGACTTAATTATGTAACGCATTAGGTTGACAATTCTCTGTTCTACGTCATGTAGGCACATCAATATCACAAGTCTAACGGGTAAAGCAAAATTAACACACAATCAATGTTTTTGGACAATAATTTTATCCCGATGAAAATTCGTTGTCGGCAATAATATCTCATCTTTTAGTCACAGGTGACTACCCGATGTTCACTAAATTAAAAAAAGCAGACCAACTCATAAGCGGATCAATTTGAAGTTTTTTTAATGCTTTGACAGATCATTCAAGATGAATAATAAGTCATTTTCACAATGCTGAGTGCTGATATAGTCTATCGAGAGCTGTTCTCCTGCCCACGGTGGGAAGTCTTATGATTCCCACTCAGAGAAAACCACATCAATAAGATAGTGATATTTAATTACTTAATCTAGCTCCACCAATAATTAGTATGCCTAATTTAGAATAGATTACTCCTTTTCATGTCCTAATTGCCTTTCTAATCCAAAAACATGGGTCAGCATTTGAGTCATATGAATGACAGGTTTTCGGTCTACTTTGGACCTAAAATATCGGTAAATATGTCTGTTTTTTAGGAGTTGTCTTCGATACTTTCCCTTCCATCTTTCATGTTTCCACTATATTACGTCTTCTATAGTTAACAATTATAAACGGAACGTAGTCGAGAAAGAAATTCAAAAAAGTGAAGAAGGAAATGTGTAACTTTCCTTTCAAAAAAATTGTTAAAAAAGGTCGCATTTCAACATTACAATAGAGATTAGACTAATCAACCTATTACGACAATAACCTTAGAGACTTTAAGACTAATGCAAAATGACAGAGAATTGAAAATATTTTATTTATTTGATGTTCTTGTTAAAATTTGGGATTCTATCTTAAAAGGTTAATCTCAAATCTTAACATGATATCAAAGCCCTTTTGAATTCCAACGAGCGATTCGATCCGATTAATACTCAAAAAAATTGAGCATGCGGATTTCAAGATTGGTTTGCTCAAACGAGCCACCATCTTGTGGGGGCATGTTAAGGGACGGAATCCCACATCGAATAAAGATGAAAACATATACCAATTTATAAGGGTTTGGGTTACTTCTCTTAATGAGGTTGACCTTTTAAGATGGAACCTCAAATCTTTACAATTCCATCAAACTCAAGAGTGTTGTTGAAACCAACTTGAGTTTAGAAACTAAATCTAATAGCATAGAAATAGTAGTCAATGATATCTTTAAGAGCTCAAATCTTGAAACTTGAAAAGGATATATTTAGTAAGTAAATATGTTAGTTTAACATGCATAACTCGACGACAAATTAACTACATGTCATTAACAACACAGCCAGTCACTATATTTCCTTTAAAGGCGAATGTTTTGGAAGAATTAAACTTTTAGAGTTTGGACTTTGAAAAGGGTTTTTATTGATCCAAACAATGAGTCTACTTCAACTAACATGCCCCTAAACACGTCCATATACAACGTAGAAATCGTTACAGCTGTACGTATATATACAAACATGTGTAATTTGATTTCAATCCTGTAACGGATCTTTCTAGTTTTTGTTTGGTACCAAGCACTGTGCCCAGACACAGTCCTCAAGAACAATATATTTAAGCATAACCAGTGAAATTCATGACTCGGAGCATTAAAGATTAATGGCCAACTCGAGAGGGAGGGGACCATTTGAGCTAATCAAATTTCTGGTCTTTTTTTAAAAGATTTAGGGTTTTGGAATGGTCCGAGAAATCATCATACAAATATTTCAAAACTAAAAAAAAGTGACCTTTCGCCTACTGTAAATGGAATTTTGTCTGCCACTGCACCCACGCCTTCCCCCAAGGATTTTGACTAAGTTATTGGCATCTTAGGACTGCAACGTTATGTTAAACTGTAAATTTATTTTAATTAAATTGGATCGTTATAAAATGTACTAATGCATTTAAAATTTGAAGAATAATTTTTTTTAATTAAATGTATCTCCTCTTAAAGTTTTTAGATGTGGTGGTTTAATATACTACTCGAGTAAAAATTCAAGACTTTCATGAAAATTGTGCACCTTATATTGAAAACAATTCGATATATCCATAACTCATCTATATATAGTTTATAAGGTTTAAAAGAGGCGGTTCAATAAACAATTCTATATATGGATAACTCATCTATATAAAGATTAAAGTTTTAAATGAGATGAGTCGACAAAAATAATTTTATAAAATCGTAACTCGTCTATATAGAGGCAAGTGACAGACATAAGCAACGTGTCTGTGATTTACAGGATCAAGGTATTCTCTTTATAGAAATATGGTTGATAATATAGGGTCGAGTTCAGAAGGGTTCAAGTACAATCTTTGTGCAGCTGATGCTAGTATTCATGACTCTGTAGAGGATCAAGGCACGATTAAGGAGCAAGATCGGTTGCTACCGATAGCGAATGTCGGCCGGATAATGAAGCAGATCCTTCCTCCGAAAGCGAAAATCTCGAAAGAAGCTAAAGAAACCATGCAAGAATGTGTATCAGAGTTCATTAGCTTTGTTACTGGAGAAGCATCTGATAAATGCCACAAGGAGAAGAGAAAAACAGTTAATGGAGATGATATTTGTTGGGCTTTGGGAAGTTTAGGATTTGATGATTATGCTGAATCACTCAGGAGGTATTTGCATAAGTATAGAGAAGTAGAAGGAGACAGGGCTAATCAGATCAAATCTTCAAACAATGAAGAAAGGGATTGATAGTTCAAAATTTGAGGTGAAACCACTGTAGAGGAAGCCTTCAGTCCCCACCCCACCCCATCTCCTTCCAATGTCATATGAGTAGAAGTATGCACCAAACTAATATACTAGGTTATGTGATTTTGTGCTTACCCTTGGTTGAACTTAATTTGATGCAAAAGTTATACTTTGAGATTTTTACTGTTTACTTCTTTTCCTTGTGGATTTTAGTCAAGAAATCTTGAAGGGAGTTCAGATCTATGCCTCCAAAAATTGCCTGTTTTTCTTACAAAAATAACTTTTGATTACCTTGACCTGGAAACTAATAAACCCTTGTGTTTTCTGCAATAATTAGGCTTGTGATTTTTGGGTTTGATGTAATAAGCTTACAGTCTACAGATAATTGTGGGATCTATACTCTTTATGTTTCTCTACAATAATTTCAAATTAGGGTTTATGTATTACTGTTCTTGTCTAATTTACTCAATTTGGGGTTTAGATTCAATTAAAGGACCATGAATTATGCTGAAGGTGATATATTTGGTTCAACCTTGATCATGATCAGGACATATAGAATAAGTGAGACCTCTCTGTCTTCTTCCATTATTTCAATAATATAAATAAATCTTGATATTTGCTTATAATATATATGTATCATGTATGTGTATGGATTAATTATTGTACATTCATATAAGTGGACAGTAAATATGATAGATTATCAGGGCTTGCATGTAACTACTTGTATTGGCTTTTTCTTTTTTTCTTATTGGGTAAGTTAGTTAAATTATTTTAAGTTGTTATTGCATATTGAATTGATATTGAAAATCATTTTGATATCCTATTGAACTACTGTTGAATCTAGACATATGAGAGACACATAACGAAATGCCCATTGGCTGCTCCCTTAGATATTTTCAATAATGCCATTAGTTTAGATCCTAAACTTAATTGGACGCAAGAAAGATTGTTTAAGCATATATACTTAAATATATATGAGATCAAGTGTGCACATGGTGTGTGATTCATAGGTGCGTACACTTTGTCATTCATATTTTACGCGTGAAAATGTTCGCGGGTCTATCTAAAAAAAAGGGGTTCGGGAGATTTGATTCGCTTAAAGCATATATATATAAAGGTTATTACTGTTTGAACTAGCTACATAAGTTACAATTTTCTTGAGATAGGTTATGAAATAGGATTAGGGCAGTACAACAATTCTTCAAAAGGCACAAAAAATTTCCTGTTTGAAACCCTAGATACCAGAAACACGATTTTGTAGGTATAGAAAATGCTTGGTTTGTCGTGAGGAATTTTTTTTTTTTTCCCCTACCAACTTTTTGTATAATATATATATATGTATATATATACAGGAATGATCTAATNAAGAATTCGCAAAGATGGTGTAGGAAAGAAAATAAAAGCTTTCGATGCAAGCAGATACACATACATTGTGAGAAGAGACGAGCAAAAGAAAGTGAATGAGAAATGTGGCCACCCATTTGTTTGAAGTATGGATAGGGATGGTAAAAGAACTCGTTTAATCTAATATTTGCGGGGCCCGTCCCAAATGGAACTGGAATTACCGCCTAATAGATAAACGAGGTGATGATAGTCATTACCCCGAAGTAGGTACAAAGAAATGATACCCGCTCATTTTAAGTGATTTTCAAAATTAAATTTTTATCAAACATAAATAAAATATTCATTTTCATTTTTAAAAAGAACGTAAGTTGTTCTTAACAAAATGAAAAAAAAAAAGTAATGATATTTACTAACTAAAAAAAAATAAAAAATAAAATGAAATTAAATTCTCGCCCTGTCTCGTTTTAACCGAATATGGGGAGGGGAATGTGACAAAAATATCTGACGGGGTGGGGTGGGAATGGCCGCCCCATTTCCATCCCTACCATATCTTCAATCTTTTAACAATGTGTACCCACGAAGATGTTTACTTGTTCATTAAAGGGAAATTTGCACAAATGGTCCATAATCTATGAAGTTGCTGCATAACCTTTAAATCTTATGGCAAATGTTAATTTTTCACTAAATAGGCAAAATTCGTTCTTCTTGATGGTTTCTATCCAATTGACCATTAAAAATGTCAAAATTTTGATATAAAAACTAAAATGACTTACTTTAGTTAAATAAAATAAGCAAAAAAAGAAAAATTAAAATTCATAACACAAAAAGAAACGTTACGTCATCCTATTAACCAATCCCCAATCAAAGCATCTCCAATGCAATCGTAGATTGCTTAAAAAATTATATCATATAAGCAAAAAAAAATGTGTTTAAAAAAAATTGCAAGTTAATAGGAACTTCGTCAAAATGATGTAGCAAAGAAAAATAAATCTTTTCTAGAACTCCGTCTATACAGAAGCTATGTTAAATATGCTAACTCAACAAAATTTATAATTGACATGCAGATTTATATGTAGTTAGCAATTCATAGAATGCATCGAAAACCAATTTTGAACTGGGCATACTCATTAAACATTGATGTCATATAGATTGAAAGTATTTTGATATCTACTTTTTCTCTATTACATTATCTTTACAGAAATCCTTATTAGCTTGCATTAGAAAGGTATTCTCTATTTTGCTTATATGGCACTAGTGTTAAATCAATCTACGGTTGCATTGAATATGCTCGTGTGAATTGGTTGGTAGGATGGATTGCACTTTTTGTCATATGTTTTGAAAATTATTTTCCACGTATTTTCTTTGTCTAACTAAAATATGGATATTTAAGTCTTTTATTAAAAGTTTGACGTTTTTAACGATCAATAGGATGGAAACCATCCAAAAGAACTAATTACACTCATTAAGTGGAAGGTTAAGAATGATTGCGTCAAATTTTAAGGTTATGGACCAATTGTGCATCTACCCCACAGATTAGGGACCATTTACTCTAATTTTCCTTCATTAAATGGCCATGCTATGCGTACATTATATCTAGCTGAAATGATAAAATTGTCAAAAAAACGAGCGACGTGTAAGCATGTTTGGAAAGTATTTATGTCAAATAAGCAAAATAGAATGTGTTTAAAAAATTTCTGCAAGTCAATAGGAACTTCATCAAAATGATGTTGCTAAGAAAAATAGATATTTTCTATAGCTCTATCTATACAGAAGCTATGTTGATGTGCTGACTCAGCAAAATTTATATTTCACATGTAGATATATATGTGGTTGAGTTATTATTTTTTAAGGAAATAAAAGACGCATAAATAACAATCCGTAAAATGCATTGAAAACCAATTTTGAACTGATTATACTCATTACACATTGATGCCATATAGATTGAAAGTATTTCGATATCTATTTTTTCTCTATTACATTATCTTTACGGGGAGTCCCCATGATTTTGTGCTAGAAACGCATTTTTCTAAATACATTTTATTTTGCTTATATGGCACTAGTTTTAAATTAATTTACGATTGCATTGAAGATGCTCTCATGAGAAATTAGTTGGTAGGATGGATTGAATTTTTTTTCGTATTTTTTAATAATTATTTTCCACGTATTTTCTTTGTTTAACTAAAATAAGGATATTTTAGTCTTTTTATTAAGAGTTTGACATTTTTAACTATCAGTAGGATGAAAACCATCCAAAAGAACTAATTACACTTATTAAGCCACTGTTTGAGCCACATTAAAATTTTCATTATCATTCTTTTACTCATTTTCAACCACACATTTTTCAATAAAATAATATTTTACATCACATCAATAGTTTTTCCTTCTTTTTCAACCACACATTCTCTATCAATCTACTATTCCAAAATACATTCTTCCAAAATAATGTCACTCAAACACACCCTAAGTGAAAGGTTTAGGATGTGCGTCTAATTTTAAGATTACAGACCAATTGTGCAGCAGCCCCACAGATTAGGGGCCAATTCCCTTCATTAATTGGCCATGATATGCATATACTATGGGGATATGGGGAAAAAGTAACTTGAGCATTAATAAAAATTAAACAAGAATCAAACATAGGCTATGTAATTTGGACGTTCACCATTTGGTTTTTGAAATGGGTGCAAATAACTACCATTTTGATTTGTTGCATCACATTTCAATTATTATGAATGTTCTCAAACATTTTTTTTATTTTTCATCTCTTATGGTGGTTTTCGTCTAGATATTTTCTTGGCGTACTTTAAATAAACGACAAATACTTTGTCAAACTATGTATTTATGATTTATTTTTATTTATTTTTGTTTATTTAAAAATATATGGGCAAATAAATGAAGTTTAAAAAAGAGAGTAAAGAAGTTTTTTTTATATGGTTGAAGAAATTTTAATATAATCATATCTTACCACATTATGTGTATATAAATCATTATATACGTGTAGCAAAAATCATTTTTTTTTTTTTACAGAAATCGTCATTGGGAACCAGATGTGTTAATTAATGGAATGTTAAAAATAAGAATGCAACAATGAGCAAAGATCGAAAACACTCATTGCATTTAAAATATAATGCCGCAAAGAAAAACTATTGTGTGAAATTAAGCCCATGTTTGTCTCCTATTTTTTTAAAACTTTTTTTTTACATACTCATTTTAACCACACATGCACACAATAAAAATATCCTACACATAAATCCAAATTGTCTTCTACTTTTTAACCACGCATTCTCTAAGAATTCACTATTCAAAACAATGTATTTCAAAAAAAAAATGACCACCAAACATGGGCTAAACTAAAGAAAGTATGTTATTGTTCTTGTCAAGGAAGGAAGGAAGCTTGCTCATTATATGCTCATTAATATGAATTATGGGCAAGTCACAATATACACATGCTTGCGTGTCTGAATAATGTTATTTGTATATAAGGAGTTATAGAAATTTTTACAGATAGATGGGGTGTCAAGAAGAGAGCGAAGAAGTCTTTTTGTTTTGTTGAAGAAATTATGACCTAATCATATTTTACAATATCATCTATATGTATAAGTGATGGTATACATGTAGCACAATCGTTTATGTATAGATCTTACACTAAAAGTGGCCAAAAATTTAAATAATAGCTCAGTTCGCGCACTAAATAAAATTGTTCAAAAGATAAGTTTATACAAACTTTACTCTGTCATATTCCTGGAAATTTTTTTCCATTCTTATACTATGGTTTCTTCAGTGATTCTAACATAGAATTAAGCCTTGTTTGTCTCTCTTTAGAATTAAACTCTTTAACTTTCATACTCATTTTCAATCATATATTTACAATAATAAAATATTTTACATATAAACCTAAAAAAAATTCTTAGTTTTTAAATAAACATTCTCCAAAAAAATCATTCAAAACTCCAATTTTTTAAAATAATAGCCATCAAACCGGGGCTAAATTGAAAACGAAAAATGATAGTGGACCTCAAATTAATTGAAAAGAAGCCTTTAATTTAAAGTAACCTTTAATTCGCAAGCAATTAGGTCACTCCATTAATCTTTAACTAAACCAATTAACAGAATTGTTGACATGACCGTTAAAAGTAACGAAATCTTTACACGTTCTACCAAGCTAAGTAAATTTCACGACGGTCACTAAACTTTTAATTCGAGACAATCACATCACTGAATTTTAATTTCGAGGTTCTAAAAAATCATTTTTTAATTTTTTTTAGTGTTTTACTTAATTAATTAAATGTCGTTAGATTAAATAAAATAATGCATACCAAACAGCTAAACTCATAAATATTATAATTACTTAATAATTTCCCAACTGGACAATTTTCAAGATTTCAAAAATTAGACAACTTCGAAACTTCTATCTAGACACTTCCTACTAATAAAAATGGGTTCGAGTCGCTAATAATAAATATAATACAAAAATTATTTGATAAAATATGATATATTTCAAAATTAATTACATATATAAACAAAAATCACTTACTAAACTTGATTGCAATAAATCTATATTATGTCCACTTCTAATATCAATAGAAAGTAAGATAAAAACGAATTATATGTATGATAATTGTATGAGTTTAACATAATAAAAATGTATTACAACTAAAGCCCTGTTTGAGCCACATTAAAATTTTCATTCCCATTCTTCTACTCATTTTCAACCACACATTCTTCAATAAAATAATATTTTCCATCATATCAATAACTTTTCATTCTTTTTCAGCTACACATTCTTCATCAAAATACTATTCCAGATTACG